AAAAAAAATTTATTAAAATTTTTTTAATTACCTTCGGAATTGGTTMAAGAGGGTTTTCTTTTGCTCTCAAACGAAGTTTGGCCTTAAAACGTTTTTCTTCAATTTTAACTGGACGAGGACTGTGGTTATGATTACAAAACTTATCGGAATGTACAGTGAATTCATCTGAAATTATTACACGAGCTCSACAGTTTTCAATACAYTTCCAATATTTTTTATTTTTTATTTTTTTATCAATTCTAAAATAATAGTTATTAAAAATAAGGCACTCCCCTTTTCGCTGTGTTGAGATATATTCAATATTTGACATTTTGACAAATTGTGAACTGTAAATGAGCAAATACGTACTGGTGATAATCATATGACACTGACTGTGGTAACTTTGCAATTATCGCTGCGACGACACACTATTCATTCTATTTTATTTATATAATTATTGGGGATTGATCAATCGATAACTTCAGAATTGAGATAATATAGCACTAAGATCGTTTCAAACGATAAATATTTCTGATAAATATTTCTCTGTGTCTATTTATCACTTTTCAAATCACAAATTCATAACCATGTTCTAAGCCAAAAATAATTTTATGCGGCGAAATGGTTCGGCGGCAAAATGGGATTAATTTGGCGGCGAAATGGGATACGACCCTTAGAACAACGGTCGCCGGACGTTAGCCATATCCTTGTTTGTTAAATTAAACTACAATAAAGAGTGTTAACTAAAAAATAACCGTGTGACAACATTTTTCATTCCGTCAGACACCTACAATTTTCAGTATTAATAATTTTAACGTTGGGTATTTCTTTTCGGACACATATTTTAACCAAAATTCATCGTAATTACTTTCAGTTTTTGCATAATTTTCACTATACAAATTTTTTAGGACATCATCCRTTTRAAATTCAATGATTTCCAATTGAATAGTTGCTTTATCRCATTTAAAAACACGTATTGCTTCATTAACCCATTCACCGTCAGGTTGTAAAGTAAAACTACTGTTCAATAGTTGTACAACGTTTTTAATTTTTTTTAAATCTGCAAATCGTCTTCAGACTTGTCATAAATTTGATAAAATTATCGATTTCAATATCATTTCTTTCATCACAAACTTTTCTCAAGTTGGGAAAATATAATTTTTCATTACCAACATCTTGAGAAAATAATTCTATTTTTTTTACAAAAACAGGTAACTTCAGATACTAAGTGACAAATGAGCTTCTGGTCACCTTGAAGTTTCAAATTAAAAAAATTTATGTGTTGAAATATATCTGCTAAAAATGCAATGGTTGCAACGTTATTATTGTCTTTTATGAATTTTATATGGTTTTTGGCAGCCGAATGTGTACTTTTAAGAAGAAAAAGTTCAATCTCGTTTAATAAACCAAAAAATCTGTTCAAAACATTGCCTTTACTCAACCACCTCACATTATTATGGAGTAGTAAATCGTCAAACTGCGAATCAACTTCCTGGAGAAGTAACTTGAATTGTCGGTGCTGAATAATTTATAATAATACTTAAATACATTTTTTTTATAACCCTATATACGCCACTGCACAGAGCCAAAAAATAATAGAACCCATGAGGACATCCAAGCTGTTAGAGATCACATTGAGAAACTCCTAACATATGAAAGTCATTATTGTCGTAAAGTTACCAGTAAAATGTATTTACCTCCTTTTTTACACTCCAAGCTGCTCCCAATAAATATACAAAAACTGTCCCAACTCCTGTTTGTAGAAGATTTTATGAAAAACATTTCAATATCATTAGGATTGGACAGATTATCTTCATTATCACTATCAATTTGTGTATCTTCATCACTGTCTAACTCGTCAAAGTTACCTACATAATGAGGATCAGATTCAATTGTTGAGCTTTTTGAAAGTGTCCGGAAAGCTTTGCCAAAGTTACTAGCATTATTAAAATTCAAATAATTATGGCTACCTTTTATTCGCCTACAACTCAGAACATATGAAGATCGTTTATATGAAAATTCATCGATAAAATGACATGTCATTCCCATAAGGCTTTTGTTATTAGCACTCTATATATCTACAGTACAACAGATGTATTGCTGTTTTTCAATTAAATCAGTCAACATGAATACATAATTTCATACTTAAGTTGTAATATTTTTGATATATTCTTATGGTTTGGAAGTACAGTTGAATCGGTTATCCCTGTTAGCCCTTGAATGAGACGACGAAAGGACGGTTTTTTACAGGTAACAATCTGTCTCATTTCTTCAACTAAGTAATTAAACACTAACTCAGTAATCTGAAAAACAAAACACTTGAAGTTTAATAAAATTAATATAGCAAACTTAAAAATAATAACAAAAATATAACAATTGAACTAAAAGAATAATATGAATTAAGAAAAGAAATCGAAATAATAAATAACTTTTGAGAATATTTTATATAGAGGAGTTAAAAATTTAACAAAGGGAAGAATGAGTTATATTTCCTAAATATGCATTAATTGCATTAGTACTGTACTAATATATTATGGMATCCAAATTATAAACAATTTTCATAAAATCATAATATTGATAATACTAATGTACATATTATAGACTATAATATAAACTTATAAGCTTGAAGTGTGTAGGTAGTTATTATGGTCTTGTAAAATATACTTTTTAAATCGTATTTAAATACAGATACAAAAACAAATACTTGGAATGTATTTAAATACTTTTCAAATACTTTTTTATTAGTCGGTTCGAACGATTAATATTATTTATAATATGTCTTATTTATTTAATTAATATATATTAATAAAATTACAATTTTGTAATTACTTATTTAAAACTGTCATGTTACACTCAATTTGGTATTATTAGAAATTTTTGTACCATTTCCTTAAATCTGTACTGAAAACAAATAAAACTTGTTAAATTATAGCAATTATTTAATATTAGGTTGCCCCAGGTACTTAGTTAAATGGCAAACACGTCGATTGACAACGTTAATGAAACATTAAAATCATACAGAACATTAAAAAAAATCATTCCAAAAACTTTTTGTTGCATTTCAGCAACATAGCATTTTCAAAGTGTTCATGACCCTCAATTTCCCTCTTTTTTCGATAAAATAGCTCCACTATCTCTAAATACTAGCTCAAAAGGCTACCAAGAACCCATGGCTAACGGCCGTTCTAGCCGGTCGGATGGCGGGGGTCACCGGCCACTTTTCGTCTCGCATACTATTAAAGCCCTTAAGGACTGGTTTGATATATGTTTCTTTTTATTGGCATTTCTTTCTAAATTTTAAATTATTAATTATTGTTAAAATGCATATTAAATTATCTCTATGATATAGTAGAATAAGATAATATGTTAAATTGTTTTGTAATTATGTTCAACATATCTCAACAACTAATCATATTCATCGCACAAGATTAAAAAAAAAATATTTGTATTATTATTAATATTCTTAATTTAAGAAAAACTTAAGCACAATCAAGACGTAAGTATATGACTTTGTAATGTTCTGTGTTAAAATTAAAATTAATTCTGAAGATTTATAATCACATAAGGTTTAAGCAACTTGTTATTGATATCATTGTAAATAAATGGTAAGAATAATATAAACTAATATTAAATTGACATTATTTTTAAGATTTTTATTGTATAATCTTGTTAATTAATTAATTATTTTTTTTATTGTAGTTGTAAGTGTTCATTCTATTTTCTTTAAATTCAATATTTTCCATACGAATAGGTTGTTTGAAACCTTTACCAAAAGAGCTATTGATGAAATTTTTGCTTTCTCATATTCAAGAACTCTAATGAACTGAATTGTTGGTTTACAATTTTTAAAGTCATTTAATATATTTTGTACTAAAGAGCATCTGCCATTGAACTACTTAGAGTTAGAACTAGGTGTTTAACTTTCATACTATTGCCCTTAATGTGTGCTGATCTATACCTAATCTAAATCCAGCTTTATTTTGCAGTTAAAACAATTGTTCCATATATCTCAATTCAATAAGCTGTCTGTTTTCGTTTTTAAATGCTTTAAATGTCTATCAAGCATTTCTTGCCAATTTTATATTGTGACGCGCTGGATTAAAATATAAGTCCGGTTTTTTAAAAACTAAAAAATAGGTTTGACATTAGAAATTTCTTCATTTAATTTGATTTCAAAGTACGTACTATTCGCATAAGATCCACCACAGGTTACACTTAATACATTTATTTTATATTGTTGGCATTCGGTTATAGCAATTTTTATAACCTGTGTCTGTGCTGCAAATTTAATTTTGTCTAAGAACCTAACCTAACCTAACCAATAACCAATCGGCCATTTCCACTTTTCTTTTAAACTTTATATAAAAACTAAAACTTCTTAAGCTGGTGTTTCAAATTCTTTAACACTTAAATTGTTACCATAATCACAATAACCAATAAACCTACTAAATAATTTTGTTTAAATTATATATATAATATAGGTACTTAAAAATATGAATTACAACCAAACTAAATTTAATTTTGCATTATCATTTTGATAAGAATTATTTAAATATTTTTTTTTATCTATAAAAATAAAAGCTGGGATTTTAATACCGTTAAAAAATTAAAAAATGCCTTTAAAACAAATCCACTAAAACAAATGCATTTAAATTATATTTATTATAGCTTAATAATTGAAAAAAAAATAGTTACTCTACAGTAATGTATTTTTTTTAAAGATTAGGACAGCTTATAGGCATTTTGAAATTATTTACGATCTAAATATTTATAGAAAACTAATACAATTTATACAATAATTATTATTTATTAGGTACCTATTTTTGGTAATTGTGAAATCGTCAATTGACCATGATAAAATCTGAATCAAAAACATCTGGATCTCTGACAGTCTACATAAGACAATCTGAAGTAGCGCTATGTACCAACAAGAAACAAATAATAATACTTTCTTTTTTCATATAAAACATTAAAAAACTTTATTAATTATACATAATATCTAATCATAATCTTAACATTTAAAATTTAAATTAAAAGTAGGTTCACTCACAAAATAGCTAAATTGGGATAATAAATAATTTATTGCATACAAACTGCTTATATAATATATACTATAAGTATTATAATTTGTGGTTTTAGTAGTATATTTATATATTGTTGTAAATTGGTTTTTATAAGTATTTGTTGTCGTGCTTTAATGAATATTCTAACATAATTTACTTAAGTACAAAATTACAAAGTATCTTATAAACGAATTCCTTGGTTGCGGGAACGTACAAAGTTTAAAAGTTCATCACTGTCTTCGCATACAAATGGTTTCAAATGGTGACATGCAACATCGTGCCACTTCACTCCATCTTGATAAAAGTTATTTAATACAGCTAAACATGATTCATCATTGCCCTAAAAAAAACCATTCGTTTCAATTATTATCTATAAAAATAAAATGTTTTAGATTTCTAAAACAATAACATATCCACTAAATTTAAGGTATGAATTGGAGTAAAGTTTAATTTTTATTAATTATAAATACTAAATTTGTGTCAATTTTATTTGAAGATCTTAACATTAATTTGAATTAAAAATATAGTATATATATATATATTATATTTTTATTTTATATATACATACAAAATCATTGTAAAATCATTGCAAAATCACAATTGATTTTTTAATTAGGTAGGCTACTTTTATATACATTACGAATTTTGTATGAAATTATTAAAACTATATTTATTTTACTTATTCAAAACAATTTAAAGAATTAAAGAATGAAAAATGCGATTTCCATTTATTTTTAATGTAAATTACAGTTCAATACATAACATACCTAAATACTATGCAATTTAAATAGTTAAAATATTTTTAGTTTTATTAAAGACAATTAAAACATACTTGTGGTGCTTCCCTGTTATCTGGTTGTGCTTGCCCAAATCCTCCTGTGTGGCTCCAATCACCAGAGTTACGTTGAGTGGTTGGTCCAATTTTCGCACCAGAACCAGACCAAAACCAACCGTTTACATTAGCAGGTACCAAATCTGGACGGTCACATCCGTTAAAGTTACATTTTCGTCCAGACGTCCAAATGTATCTTATATTTCCTTTTTAAATTAAATTTAATTGAAACATAATTGATTGAATTAAAAATATTAAATTATATTATAGTTTACCTCTTGATATTCTTTGCTTGACGAACTCGTTCTCTTGAGGCGTTTCTAAACTAACTGCATCCATGCAATGTCTACGACAAATGTTCCTGGCATCAAGCCAATCTACTTCTAAGCTTTTAGTAGGAGCATGTTCCCAACTGAAAAAATAAGAATGTGTAACTCCACGAGCATCTCGATATGATGCATGACGAATTCCTGAAAAAATAATTTCAAATATTATTTAATTACAATCACACATAATTATTAAATAGATAACAAAATAATCGATGATTATAAGTTGGACCATTATATGAAAAATGTTTATATTTAGACTAAAAAATGTAATGAGCTGGTCGGTGAAACACGATTGCGCCCGTCCTACCTTTTTACATTCAAAAAACGTAACACGATTGCGCCCAGCAAATTAGCACGATTGCGCCCGTTTTACATTTTTACCTACAAAAAACGCAACACGATTGCGCTCTGTGAAATATATGTCTCGCCCTCAATAAATATTGATCTTTGCCCAATACAATTTTTAAAAATACAGTAGAAGTAGTAAACTCAAAGTTGAAGTTAAAAGTTCGAGTTAACCAAGTTCGATTGTATTAATACATGACAAACATTGTTATAACATTATTATTTTTTCATAAACGTATTTTTCCAATGTCTATGCAAGTAWAAAACTAATACACAGGAAAATTTAGCTACATGGAATATTTGAAAGCAATGGGACCACAATTTTGTGCCATAAAATGTAATTTGTAATTCTATTGGGATTTTTTATACATATTTGGACATATTATAATTTTAAAAAAATATATATTATTAGTGTATACTAATGTGGCCACATAATATCAATATATGATATATGATATAATATTATAACCAATGAAAAAAAAAATGTAATTAGTATTTTTCGTAATTTTTTTTTTTTAATTTGCCTTTTATTAAAAAATAATTATAGCAAAGCAATTATAAACAGTATTTTTCGTAATTGTATTGAGTTATTTTAGACATATTGTAAAAAAATGTATAAGAAACAATTTTTAACCAAACCAACAATTTAATTTTGTTGTCAGTCCTAAGCCTATAAAATTAAGAAGAAAAATTGTTAAACTTGTCGAACTTGGATAACTCGAAACTTCTAACTTCAACTTTGAGTTACTACTTCGACTGTATTTTTAAAAAGTGTATTGGGCAAAGACCGATATTTATAAGGGCAAGACATATATTGCATGGAGCGCAATCATGTAGCGTAAAAAGGTAAAAAGGTAAAACGGACATAATCGTGCTAATTTGCTGGGCGCAATCGTGTTACGTTTTTTGAATGTAAAAAGGTAAGACGGGCGCAATCGTGTTACAGTCTGAGCTGGTAACGTCGATATTGAAAAGTGTAAAATAGAAGGTGATGGAAGTTGGATCAGTAGTGCCTCAGCGGTTCGGACTTCTATTTGTGTTATATAAATTGATATATATATCTACATAGTGAACTAGTAAATTCATGCCATATTAGAATAATATATCATATAACAATAATATAACCTTATATATTATGTACAAATAGCATTCATATTTTATATGGGTCTTATCTTTTTTAAATGTATCATTATTATAATAATGTATTGTATAAACTTACTACTGGAGCAACTGCGTGGATCTGGCAATGCTAATCTCCTCTGTGCTACAACAATAGTCAATCCAAAAACAAACAAGAATATTTGTTTTATCATTTTTTAAGCTGCGAAATAATATAAAGTTAAAATTAATATACAGTCAAAATTTAAAACCATGTTGGTGTAATTAAAAACACTTCCTATTTCTTAAGCATTGATTTTTCTGAAATGAAACTTATTTACGATTTACCGAGGGTTCAAATCAAAAACATTACCTATCTTACGTCACGGTCAGCCGTCACAACACAAAGATTTCTATGGTAATAAGTAATAATTATTGTCTTATCTTTTTTTAATAATAATAAAACAATTAATTAAAATTGAAAAATTGAATTATTTTTATTTTATTTCTGTACAAACCTAATATTCGTCCGTGATATAGACCGTGACGGGCGATACGATCTTTGTTTTCAAACCCTATGTAAAAAAGTTTCACTCTAATCGYGCGTACTCTTAACACACGATTTATTTTTAATTATTACTTACGAACAATAGGTAGGTGCATATAAGTAAATATTAATAGTCTTTAGATAGTAAATGATTATTAAAATATATATTGTTAACTGATTCTTAATTTTTTTTTCGACTATTGACTAAAAATTTTGTCAATTTTATAATGATTTTTTTATGGTGTCTACCTAGATAAAACTACGTTGATTTTTATTTGGTCAATATCATAAATGTTATTATAATAATATTATTATATTATTATAGTATTATATTATTATCAATACTATTATAATAGGTACTATTTTATCACGACATTTTGACATAAAAGTACCTATTTTATTTTAATTTCAGCATATAGCATATTAGGTTAATAAATTATAAATCATCGAATTGAAATATTAAAATACACATTTCTTGAATACTATATAGGTACCTATAAGAAATTTAATGCACAAAATGTTAATTTATTGTTATTTAATAAATCGGTTTAAGTCTATCAGCCGCCGAATGAATGAAATTGGAAATCTCCAGCCCAGAGTGTTACAGTTATTTTTTTTATTATTTATTTATCAAGTAAATTACTTAATTACCTAATAACAATTATAAATAATAGTCGCATTTTTATTTTTCAAATATTTCTTACACCTAGTGTCGTATATTGTAGACAATCATCAAAGTAACATAATTATATATATATATATTTATTATACAGGGTGATTTTTTTTATCGAAGAACACTCATACTCATACACTCATACTTTTTTAAATAATGAGTGTTCTTCGATAAAAAAATCACCCTATATATATGCAATTTGAATTGTAATTATTAAGATAGGTGAGTAAAGCTAGATATGCTGAGGTGACATAAATACTTCCTATATAACGCCATCGACATACAGTCCCGTTGTCGCCGAGTGGGTCGACGAGAATGTAGGTACGACGATTGTACGAGTGAAACGGAGATCAAAGTACGGGCTAGGCAATCTAGATTTGCTAAGTGTTTTATTTATGTTTATTTTCATTTAACAAAAGTGTTTCCGACCTGGAAACCCGAGTTGAATATTGTATGCCCAACTCATAATCATAATCTATAGTATAATATTTTTTAAATTATACTCGTCGTCAGAATACCATACGGTAATAATAATAACTTTCTTTCTAATGAAGGACACGTACGGCATAGTTCAYGAATGATATATTGTGTTTATGTGTAAAGTGTACATTATAATTATAACTTATAATTAATATAATATAATGATTATACGAATCATTAAATAAATTTTCGTAATTTGGGACCTGTCATTATAGGGTACCTAATATAATGATTAATAATTATAAACTAATGGAGCCAAATTTCGTAAATGTTTTTGAATACATAATAAATAATAATTATAATAATCTGTTAGGTACTAAAAATTTTCCATCATTTTACATATTCGTATTGAAAATTGAATAGCTTACAGCACGTCAGCACCTTTACTATGGATGTACTTAAATAATAATATACACTAAATAAATATATGTAATGTAAAGTATTGAAATACGGAAACCATTCTGTTAGGCCATATATTTTCAAACCATTTTGATAATTTTTAAAAGTTAATAGCCTTCATAAACTTTAAATTTGTTCTAAATTGAATAATAAATAATATTATTCTGCTCCATGTATACGATTTTATATAACATATCCAATTTTATCTACGTACATATATGGAATATATTTTTTTTAATATGTTAAAAAGTTATATATACCAACTATTAGGTAGCAATACCTATCTAACAGAAATCATCTAATGAAAAAATGAGTTGAGTATTTATGCATCTTCAGGGCTGGACGGCTTTTAAATTCAAATATCAAATAACTCGAATTATAATAGATTTTCAATGTCTATTAGTTTCAAAAAATAATTCTAGTTATACATGCATTGAGCGATATAACAAATTTTACTATTTATTTAATCTATTTGAATTTAAAAAAAAAAATGTTAACATGTTAACATAATAATGTGCTCTATATTAATTTTAAAGATTTTAATTTGATTCATCTTTAATACTAACAGCAAAAAATTTCAATATTGAATATTAATTTGAATAAATGTATTCCTTTCACATATTATAATCACTTAAAATGTAAAGATTAGAAATTTATAAAAAAAGTAATTTGAAGTGGTTCAAAAATCTACTTGATTATCTTGATTCGTTATTATTCTGCTTCTGCATAAAAGTACTTAATTTTTTTAATTACCTAAATAGTTTTTATTGTATAGTAAAAATCAATTATACATCTTGTATTAGTTTTAATTTAAACGCATACATAATACAAAAAAAATATTATACTTGGTTTTGATACTTTTTTTTTTTTTTTTTATTAATTAGCTTTCAGTAAAAACTATTATAGCTCGACAATTATATAAGTACAAGATATAGATAAATGACAGTGTGGTGTTACAATAGTATATAAGTTTTGATACTTAATGATATAAAAATTATAATTTGAGTACAAAATATGAAAAAAAAATTGTTTAAGTATAAAGTAACGGCGAAATCCGAATTTGCGTTGAACATCTGCGCGGCAGGCAGCCGCAACAAACCATATGAATTATACGTATAAAAATATTCTTGTCAACTGTCGATAGATCATGATTATTGGATGTTATTATATATTAACATGACCTCTCACATATTTATAGATTCTAAGTGGAGCCGTGGAGTGATGAATGTATTGATTTTACCATGATATGAGTTTTATTTATTTATTTATTTTTTTTTTTGTGTCTGCCATCACTCTTTGGGACAGTAAAAGTGCTTCGATTTTTGGCTTCAGTAATTCGTTCGATCATAAAATGAATCTAGTTGGTACTTTGGGTGGTCAAAAGTAAAAAATTCTTAATATTATTTTTTCTAAATAATCGGGATAAACAAACTAAAAATTTGAGAAGATTTTGGTTTTTGATGTAACTTTAAAACAAATTACCATAGATACATACAATTTTCACCGAATGTTTATATAAGTATATTCTATCCACCATGCAATTTTCAAMAATTTTCGACTTAAGTTGAACTATTCGTAGACATATGTAATTTTCGATAATTATTAGTTTTTTTTAAATTAATATCAATAAAAATTATGTATTTGTTGGGTAGAAAAGCTTGAAAATTTAATACAAGATTTCTAACACATTGTGACAATAGCAGTTGAAAAATATTAAAAATACATTGACACGATTTTTTTTTATAAGCATTTAAAGTTCAAATTTTGACTAAATACGTAAAAATTACGGCAATGTTCAAATTATCTCAGTTAAAAATTCACAAAAGTTTTTCTTTTTAAATCTAAGATTTGAAAATTAAATACAAGGCTCCTAATATATTTTTACAATAGCAGTTGAAAAATAAAAGAAATATATGGTCACAATTTTATATGCATTCAAAGTTCAAATTTTGACAACATATTATGTAAAAATCACGAAAATTCGTAAATTATTTTACGCAAGAAATTCATACATTTTTTTCCTTTTTAGAGTTTTTATTCGCTCTTTTTCTATATTTAAAATTGCTATACCAGATAAACGTACTTGTCCGCATGAGTTTCTTAAGTAATTGTTTATTAGTTTTAGTTTCGAAAAAGAACGTTATACTCCTGCTACAGTAATTGGTATTGTCAGAAAAATTATGCAAGCACTTAAAACATCTGGAAAACTACTAGATAAATCGTTATTTATAATAAAACTACCAAAATGTTTAATTGTATTTAATTTTTCATATTTTATAAACGATTTTAAAGAAAAAATTTGTCGTGGGAAGTCAGAATTTATATCGTCTTTATATGTTAAACAAAAATCGTATGATGATGCTTTCATAATAATATTTTCATCAGTTTGTATTGAAAGAAAAATAGGATTTAAAAAATTGAAATCCTCTATAACATCATGCATATCTTGAAACCGACTAATTGGTTGAGACAAAACTTTATCCAACACAAAGGAAAAATATTTTAACTTTAAAGTTTCCTTCAGTTGTGTTAAGTCTCCTATCTCCATTTAAATTGTCATAAAAAAGTTTTTTGGCATACGATTCCCTTTTTTCTACAAATTTATTGGAGATTCCCCATCTTAAACACAGTGATGTTGCATTATCAAGTACATTATCATCGTAGTTATTCGCCGTATTGGTCAACAGGGCCGTAGCTAGGCACTGGCAAGAGGGCATTTGCCAGGGGCGCAATTATACGAAAGGCGCAATTTCATCGAGTGTCAATCTCAACTGAAATATGATAATTTACAAAAAAAAAAAATCCACCGTTTATTTTTAACGTTATCGYAATACGTTTCTCGTCGCGAATTCGCATAATATTGGAAACTACGCTAGSGTATTTATTTATTTATTTATCACTATACACTTCAAGATTTCTATYCTAATCTTGAAGTGGCATTAAGAATATTTTTAACTATTCCAGTCACCACAGCYACGTGTGAAAGAAGCTTCAGTAAGCTGAAGATAATAAAAAACTATTTAAGATCTACGATGAACCAAAATCGCCTAACAAGTATGGCAATTTTGTCTATTGAAAAAAGTTTGGTTGACCAAATATCATTTGATGATGTTATAGATGACTT